TCCTTCTTTCTACAGAAAGCAGTAGGATTACAGTACTGTAGACCAAAGTGAAACTGGAAGATAAGTCAGTTATTCCTTTTGAACAAAAACTTGTAGTTATTGAGGTTACAGTGTATCCCAAACACCTAGGGTGCCGGTAGCATGCCTGGTATACTGCTAAGGTGACCAGGTGTCCATGCTGACTGGGTGGTTGACTGTTTGGTTGGTGGCGCCGCACAGCGGGGCTCGCAGACTCCCTGCTAGCCTCCACACGGCTCCCAGGAAGCACCTGGCATGTCTCCCCTCCAGCTACTATGCATAGGGGCAGCCAGGGGGTGCTGCATGATGCCCCTGCCCCAAGCGATGCCCCTGCAGCTCCCATTGGCAGGGAACCGCGGCCAACGGTAGCTGCGGGGGCAGTGTCTGTGGACGGGCAGCACACAGCTGCCTGGCTGCGCCTCCATGTAGGAGCCGGAGGGGAGACATACTGCTGTTTCTGGGAGCCACTTGAGGTAAGTGCTGCCCTGAGCCTGCATCCCTGAGCCTGCACCCCTGAGCCACCCCCCTGTGCCCCAACACCCTACCCCAGCCCTGATCCCCTTCCCGCCCTCCGAACCCCTCAATCCCAGCCCAGAGCACCCTCTTGCACTCCAAATCCCTCATTCCCAGCCCCACCCCAGAGCCTGCACCACCAGCCAGAGCCCTCACTTGCCCCCATGCCCCAACCCTCTGCCCCAGCCCTGATCCCCCCCCTGCCCTCTGAACCCCTCAGTCCCAGCCTGGAGCACCCTCCTACACCCCAAGCCCCTCATCCCCAGCCACACCCCAGAGTCTGCACCCCCAGCCAGAGCCCTCACACACCCCTGCACCCCAGCCCTGATCCCCTTCCTGCCTGCTGAACCCCTCGATCCCAGCGCAGAGCACTCTCTTGCATCCCAAGCCCCTCATCCCCAGCCTCACCCCAGAGTCTGCACCCTGAGCCTGAGCGCTCACCCCCCGCATCCCAACCCTCTGCCCCAGTCTGGAGCCCCCTCCCACACCCTGAACCCCTCATTTCTGGCCCCACCCTGAAACCTGCACCCCCAGCCCAGAGCCCGTACCACCTCCCACACCCCAACCCCCTGCCTCAACCCGGAGCCCCCTTATTTATCAAACTGGACCACAGTCTAACATACCATTCCCATCTAGAACTTAAGGAAACAGATCACCTCCTACAATGCCTTGATCCTCCAGAAGCTAGCAAGAGCCTCCTGGGGGAGCAAAGACAAATGTTTTATTAACCTCAGTCAAGGTGCTGGTATTCAATCCAACAACATATTGTGCAGCAGTTTGGGGCAAAAGTCAGCATATGCATCTCATTGATTTGGAGCTGAATACACCCAACCATACCATTAGTGATTGCCTTAGACACACCTTCATAGGTGCCGACTCCATGGATGCTTTGGGGCTGGAGCACCCACAGGAAAAAGAATGGGGGTGCTGAGCGTCCACCGGCAGCTCCCCTATCAGCGCCTCCCCATCCCTCCCAGCACCTCCCACCCGTTGGTAGCCCCGCCGATCAGCGCCTCCCCCTCTCTCCCAGTGCCTCCCGCCCACCGCGGATCAGTTGTTCCTCCGGAGGCGCTGAGAGGGAGGAGAAGGAGCAACGGCGGAGAGGGCTTGAGGTGGGAGCGGGGGCGGGAAGAGGTGGGGCAGGGATGGGGCTTTGGGGGAAGGAGTGGAGTGGGGCAGAGGGGGAGTTGAGCACCCCTTGGCACAGTAGAAAGTCAGCGCCTCTGCACACATTAATGTCTAATTTGTATATCTTGGCTCATATAGCTCGCCCAAAACTTTGATGAGATGCTATTACCCTTAAAACTGCCTGGAGGGCTACGATGGATAAAACAACTTGCTGCACAAAAGGCTGACAATGGTTCAAATAGGTGCCAACAAGCAACACATGCTTCCTATGAGATCTGCCTGCCTCCAGAAGAAAACACCTGCACCTGAAGTTCCTACTGACTTGCCATGACTGACATCACAACATTCTTTTGTGGTGGCCATTCATGCACTTATGTCTAGTGCTGCCAACCCACTGCCAATCTCAGATGACCAATGGCATATACGAGCCAGCAGAGTGGCAGCAACTGATGAACTTCAGAAGTCCTAATTTACATCTGTTTTCATCCTGGGACACAGGCCCTGGACTAGACTTAATAGGCTACTGACTGGAAAGCTGAGTGGGTTGCCACAATGCAAAAATTTGACTTAGCCCAATCTCCACAGTAATTGTGGGGCAGCGATGCTGACCTTTTATTGCACACACCTCCACAACTAGAAGATTGGAGGGCAGAGCAGACTGTAACACTTTGCTACCCTCAGTGTTCAGCCATCTATCTGCTGCATCAATCTAGATATCACCTTGTGACACATAAGAAAAAAGATTATAACTAGTACCTTAAATGCTCAGAAATCAGGATGCCTATTTTGTACTCTGATGAAAAGTGCTGTAAGCTCAAGGTTTATTCAGTAATGTTTTCTTGTCATTTTTTTTTTTTTTGTGTCTATAGGATCTCAGTAGTGTAATTACAAGTACATAACTATTCCTTGGAATATCTGTAATTCCTATTTTATTTTGAGTTGCTTATCTTCATTTAGACTAATCCAGTTTAATAGGGTTTTTAACTAATATATTTCCAAATATTTTAGATCTAGTGCTGCTATAGGGTATTTTTCTCTTAATTTTTAATTTATTTGTTAGAACTTTTCTTAGACTATCATGTTCCTCTCACATTGTGTACTAAATCTGTAATGACCTTATGATCTTTGTTACTCTTTTTAGTAAATAAAATGGTTAATAAGATTTATGTAGTTGGAAATGTTTCTTTTGCATACCCTTACATGTTGTGGAACACTATGTGCTTTAAGTATCAGAAGGGTAGCCCTGTTAGTCTGGATCTATAAAAGCGGCAAAGAGTCCTGTGGCACCTTAAGCTTTCATGGGTGAATACCCACTTCGTCGGATGCATGTCATCCGACGAAGTGGGTATTCACCCACGAAAGCTTATGCTCCAATACGTCTGTTAGTCTATAAGGTGCCACAGGACTCTTTGCTGCTTTTATGTGCTTTAAGAGGAGGCCATATTCAGAAGATATTTGGTATATTTCTTTATCTGATACGGGGAAGAGAAAGATTTGCTGTGAAGTCTGAATACTCTTGTACTGTTATTGTAGACACTTAACACAATATTCTAGGCAAATTCAAAATTGCTTAATTCTATTCTGCCTACCTGTGATGGGGTATACCAGGGATCGGCAACCTTTGGCACATGGCCATTCAGGGAAATCTGCTGGCAGGCCGGGACAGTTTGTTTACCTGCAGTGACCGCAGGTTCGGCTGATCACAGCTCCCACTGGCTGCGGTTCGCCGTTCCAGGCCAATGGGGGCTGTGGGAAGCGGCGCAGGCTGAGAGATGTGCTGGCCTACCGGTCAAAACCCAGAAGTTTTGTCATTACCATAGAAGCCCACCATTTAGCACCCCTTTTCACGCTACATCAAATGCCAAAGCCTTGCCGATCATGTGCAACATTTAAAGTTGAATTCTGTTCAGTCTGCTTTCAGCCTAAGACTTCTATGGTAGGAGTCTGCAGACTGCAGACAGAATTTCCAAAGGGGTCTGCAACTCCATTCTAAATGTTTTTAAGGGTCCACAAATGAAAAAAGGTTGAAAACCACTGGCATAGAATGATTTAAGTCCTGAACACTATTGCCTTAGTGACAGCACTGTATTTCCACTGCCAAAAAAAATAGTGTTGTTACTACTGAATATTGTTGCTCTTGAGTGTGGAAGTCTATTATTATTTTTCAAAAAAAGAATTACTTGTGGCACCTTAGAGACTAACAAATTTATTTGAGCATAAGCTTTCGTGAGCTACAGCTCACTTCATCAGCTCACGAAAGCTTATGCTCAAATAAATTTGTTAGTCTCTAAGGTGCCACAAGTCCTCCTTTTCTTTTTGTGAATACAGACTAACACGGCTGCTACTCTGAAACCTGTTATTATTTTTCAGTGACAGGTTGTATAGTAGAGACGCGAGAAACAAAGACAAGGTGGAAACTGAAAAAGGAACAGTTATAACATGCCAAGAAAGAAGGTTTTGTCTGGGCAAGCCAAGAGGCAATTAAGTCTGTGGGAACAGAGGGACAGAATTGCCATGAATGAAGGAAAAGGGTAGTGTGGCCAGCAAAGCTGACAAAAAGGACTGAAGTAACTAAAAATTGCTTGGAAGAAAGGATAAAAACAGATTTCATCTACAAAAAAATAGCTATTACACACTATTTGATTTTAGCAGGCTTTTGTTGTTGAATTCTTTTTAAAATTGTGCAAAAGAAATTGCTATCCGGTTTTAACTTTAATTCCCTGTGCAGAAAAAATAATCACTATTCATTACAGATGTGTACATATTTATTGAGAATCAAAAGGTGGCTGAACATGACATGCAATTAAAAGATAATGTTCAGTTGAAACTGTTCTACCAAAACATGCAGAAGTTACTTCTGATGAGAGATATTTGTGCAATAAATTCAAGAACAAAGAAAACATATGGGCAACCTGATTATTATCACAGGAATTGTTGGCAAACATAATTGCTGTAGAAAAGCACTGGTATTTATATATGAATAAAAACGTTCTTGTATTTTATTGCATATTGAGTGGTAGTTACATAAGTTTTATTAAAAGAACTTAGTATTTGCTGAAAGGTGGAAATGCTAGCTTTCAGAAAAAAAATCGTTTACTAATCTTAACACCACCTTTTAATGAATGAGAAAACTGTAACCCATGAGAGATTTTTGCCAAAAACAGGGGGCGGAAGGGTGGAATCTAAACCTTGATTGCTTCAGAGCAGGCTTAATTAGTAAATTTATCGGATTTGAATTAAACAAAACAAAAGGCTCATTTTATTCAAGTCTCATTCCAGACCACCACCCCTTTTCCAGCCTTAGGGGAGGGAGCCTTTAATAATGGTCTGTGTAAACTGATGCTCAGGCATTAAGAGATTGGAGAAGTGCTGCTTGCGCAAGTTAAAGGAGAAGAGAAACGGCAATCAAATAAAAAGCGGCTGCAGAAACAAAACAGAACTTTTACTGAATATAAAAAAAAAATGTCTCTTTTCACCAAAGTCTTGAACAGCAGTTGCAGACAGGCGCTTGAGCCTGAGAAAAGGAGTTGCTTTTTTCGTGTGATTTTTGTCAGCGGGTTTCACCAACTGACCAAACGTTCTAGCAGCCAGACTTTGGAGGTGCAAAATAACACTACAACAGCAGCTGCTGCTGCAGCAGCAGAGGACAAAGAGGAGGAGATGGTGGCAGTTTCAGAGGAGGCAGAGCGGCTCCTGAAACCCACCCAACACCACCACTGCAAAGTGAAGAGCCTGCAAGAAATGCCTGGACCCAAAACCCTCTCCAACCTGGTTGAGTTCTTCTGGAAGGACGGCTTTGGTCGCATTCATGAAATCCAGGTACAATTTAGTTAAAAGAACCATTTTGATTTACTCTAGGATATCAGTTTTTTTTAAAAAAAGTATCTGCTTAATTAATGAGTTGCAGTCCCAGTTAATCCTGCTTGTCATGACAACGTCGTGTTGGTGCTGTTGTCACGCTACAGTTGGTGTTTGTTTACAGGATCCCTGTTCGCCCCATTCAATCTTCATGCAATGAGTGTTTCAGTGTTTGGCGACTTCAACCCTGGCTTTCTTCTTTCTTTCCGTCAGAGAACAGTATTAAAAACGTGCTTTTCAGTCATGGACAAGAGTCTGCAAAACGTGCATTAGAATCTGCTTTAGTGAGAACAGATTTCTGACTGATTCTTGTGGTTTTTTTCCAAATCTCTCATCTAATATTAGGGCTTTCTCTATCCCCCACAAACCCAGCATCTTGTGGGACTTCTTTGCATCTTCCTCCTCCTCCCTTTTTTGGGGCAATATTTTCCCGTCTTTTCAACCTTAGCTGTTTGGGGTTTTAGTTGGCACGACTGACTTGTTTAACATTACATGTAGAACTGAAGAAATCCAGCCATAATAAATACATGGCAGAGGGGGCTTTTTTCCCCTTTAAGATTTGAGGAACACAAGAGAGGATTTTTCCTCACATTTTACCAAAAACCAACCAACTCTGTTCATCTCCAGAACGAGGCAGTGTCAGCGCAAGGCAGAATTTCTGTGACTTATAATGAAAATTTGAACGGCAACCTCTCTGAGGCTTGGAGCAGCGTCCACACTATGCTGTGGGGGCGCACATGTCTCTGTGGGCAGAATTTGGCCCTATACAACACATTGCGGGGGGTGGTTCCCTCAGCTTTTTTCACCTACATCTCCCCAGAGCTCATCAGTTCCTCAGAGAGACCATTTTGTCTCTTAACTATCCCTCGCTCGCACCCCGCTCTGCATGCAGACCCTTCACATATCGGGCCCCTCGGGGGCCGGTTTCTGTGTATATGTCTGCGCCGGCTGTGTATTGGCCTGAGGGCTGGCGGGGCTGCCGCCGCTGAGTTGTTTAGACAGCCATCCCCTCAGCAGCAGGCGGGCCATTTGAAACCCTCCCTTCCCCCTCCCTCCACCCCTTCTGAGGATGGCAGCGCGCGCCAAAGTTGGGGGTGGGGGGACCCAGCCAACGGTCGCGGCTCGCGGCGCCCCAACGTTCCAAAGGGGCTCGCGCTGCCGGAAGGGAGCCAATGGCGCGGCTCCCCCATGTCCCCGAGACAGCTGCCCTCCCTCCTGCACCCCCTATTGGCAGACAGCAGGGAGGGACGGACCCCACGTGTGCGACGGGGTGGTTGTATAGAGGGGAGGGGCTGGCCCCCTTCTAGTTGCGGGGGGGAGGAGGCTTCCTGGTAGTGGGCAAGAAGTAGGAGCGTTGGGAGCAGATCAAGGGACGTGATCATTCCCCTCTGTCTGGCACTGTGAGGCCACATCTGGAGTATTCAGAGTAGCAGCCCTGTTAGTCTGTATCTGCAAAAAGAACAGGAGGACTTGTGGCCCCTTAGAGACTAACAAATTTATTTGAGCATAAGCTTTCCTGAGCTACAGCTCACTTCATGGGATGCATGCATCCCATGAAGTGAGCTGTAGCTCAGGAAAGCTTATGCTCAAATAAATTTGTTAATCTGGAGTATTGCATCCAGTTTGGGGGCCCCCCCACTATAGAAGGGAGGTGGACAAATTGGAGAGAGTCCTGCGGAGGGCAACAAAAATGATTAGGGGGCTGGGGCACGTGATTTACGAGGAAAGGCTGAGGAAACTGGGCTTGTTTAGTCTGGGCTTGTTTAGACTTAGTTTAGAAGAGAAGAGTGAGGGGGGATTTGATAAAAGCCTTAAACTACCTGAAGGGGGTTCCAAAGAGGATGGCGCTCGGCTGTTCTCAGTGGTGGCAGATGACAGAACAAGGAGTGGTGCTCTCAAGTTGCAGTGGGGGAGGTCTAGGTTGGATATTAGGAAACACTGTTTCACGAGGAGGGTGGTGAAGCACTGGAATGGGTTCCCTAGGGAGGTAGTGGAATCTCCTTCCTTAGAGGTTTTTAAGGCCCGGCTTGACAAAGCCCTGGCTGGGATGATTTAGTTGGGATTCGCAAAAAGAAAAGGAGTACTTGTAGCACCTTAGAGACTAACCAATTTATTTGAGCATGAGCTTTCGTGAGCTACAGCTCACTTCATCAGATGTATACCGTGGAAACTGCAGCAGACTTTATATATACACAGAGAATATGAAACAATACCTCCTCCCACCCCACTGTCCTGCTGGTAATAGCTTATCTAAAGTGATCATCAGGTGGGCCATTTCCAGCACAAATCCAGGTTTTCTCACCCTCCACCCTCCCACACAAATTCACTCTCCTGCTGGTGCTAGCCCATCCAAAGTGACAACTCTTTACATAATCAAGTCGGGCTATTTCCTGCATAAATCCAGGTTTTCTCACATCCCCCCCCACCCCCATACACACACAAACTCACTCTCCTGCTGGTAATAGCTCATCTAAACTGACCACTCTCCAAGTTTAAATCCAAGTTAAACCAGAACATCTGGGGGGGGGGGGGGGGGGGAAAAAACAAGAGGAAACAGGCTACCTTGCATAATGACTTAGCCACTCCCAGTCTCTATTTAAGCCTAAATTAATAGTATCCAATTTGCAAATGAATTCCAATTCAGCAGTTTCTCGCTGGAGTCTGGATTTGAAGTTTTTTTGTTTTAAGATAGCGACCTTCATGTCTGTGATTGCGTGACCAGAGAGATTGAAGTGTTCTCCGACTGGTTTATGAATGTTATAATTCTTGACATCTGATTTGTGTCCATTTATTCTTTTACGTAGAGACTGTCCAGTTTGACCAATATACATGGCAGAGGGGCATTGCTGGCACATGATGGCATATATCACATTGGTGGATGTGCAGGTGAACGAGCCTCTGATAGTGTGGCTGATGTTATTAGGCCCTGTGATGGTGTCCCCTGAATAGATATGTGGGCACAATTGGCAACGGGCTTTTGAGCAGGGGGTTGGACTAGATAACCGCCTGAGGTCTCTTCTAACCCTAATCTTCTGTGATTCTATGATTCTTCTAAGAAGGGACGGGAGAGTGAGTGACTGCAGGCTTGGGGGCCCCTTGGCCACAGCTTGGCTGTCTGCTCACTCATGTTTCACACACAGTTGCATGGACACTAAAGCCCCACACCCAGGCATGTAATAAACCACTCTGAGGTGGGCCAAGCGATGACATAGACTAGGGCAGCTGAGGCCCCACATGCTGATGGCAGATACTTAATTTGAGTGGGAGAGGACCAGTGTCTGGAGTGGGCAGCTAACGGGAAGTCCAGTAGCGTAGCCAGGGAAGGAGCGGGGGGAGCGGCCGCTCCCGCTCTGAACTCAAGTGGCGCTTTTCTAATTTATAGGTACCTTTTTTAATTTTTACTCACCCGGCAGTGCTCCGGGTCTTTGGCGGTGGGGGCCTCCACGCACTCTGGCTCCTCGGCGGCGGGGGCCTTCATGCGCTCCAGCTTGGCGGGGGCCTTCAGTGCTGCCGAGGACCTGGAGTGCCGCCCAGTGAGTACAAGCGGGTGGCACCTTTTTTTATGTCCGCTTCCCCTGTTCGCTCCACCTAGCTTCACCACTGGGGAAGTCCCAGGGCTCCCACAATCTGGCCTGTGGGACGAGCAGCCTAGACAATGGGTCATCATCTTGGTCTGTCTGGGTCAGAGAGCAAAGATGGGAATGCCTTGTGGGTTGGGACCTGTCATCTCCAGGCCCTGCGCCTTTGCATTTGATAGGCCCCAGCCTGCAAGGTGTCACTGCACAATTCCCAGGAGCAGCAGGAGAGATGTGCAATAATTAGAGCATGCTGCTGACATAGCCTCTGGAATGTGTCTTTTATAAAGAGGGAGTTCCTCTATCTTTGTTTTTTAAGCAGCCACTCCTTCCTATGCTGGGGCTCCCTTCCCTCCCATCTGCATCTTCCTCGGACAAGTGGGTTTAGGGTGAGCACCTGCATTTCAAGAAAATAAAGAACTGTATGAAAAATACAAGCTTGTGTTTATTTTTCAGGGACAGTACCTAATGGGTTTTCATGCCTGGTACAAAATCAGACATTTGTAATGCAGAGTATTGACCCTTTAGAATAATTATTGCTAGAAAAAATACTGTCTGATCAAATGTTTCTTTTTGTTAGATAACATTAGACTTTAGGCATCACAATACACTACAGGGTGGGATGTCACTGTAGATAGGTTTGAATTTTCCCGCAGTAGTTACACCCACAGTAGGAATCCCTGGTGCCCAAAACAACTTAACCTCAGGCTTTTGGACAGAGGATAGCTTTCCATCTCAATTCTGGGCTCTCCAGTGGTGTCTCCAGCTTTGCTAGGTCAGCATTCAGGATTTTGTTTCTCTCCTGCTCACTCTTAATTGCTGGCTAGGTGAGAGACCAGCAGTTGAAACTTCTTCTCTTTCTTCTTTGGTTGATCCCTTGTCACACTCTCTTTGGTTTCTCCATCAGCTCCTGCTCTGTGCTCTTGCTACATGAGGAAAGAGGCAGTGTGGGGACTGTGGTGAGGTACCATATAGAGAAGGTGTGCTGCATCAAGCAATGGCGGAAGCAACAGTCAAATGAGTCCCCATCTTCCCTTGTGGAGTCAAGACAGTGGGGAGCAGGAGACCTGAAAGGGGCAAAATCCAGTGGGTCATGAGACAGTCAGAGGAAAGTTGTGGAGTTGTTAGACATTGGGGGAAGGGGAACAGAAAGGGATGGGGCAGAAAGGAGGGAAAAACTTGAGTTGGGAAGCTTCAGAGGAAGAGAGGAGCTCTTCACCCTTCAGAGGCAGAAAAGGGAACTGACACTGAATGAAACCACTGGAGTGAGGAAGGGACTTGTGTGCCCTCTGAAGACACCATCCCTAAGGAGGGCAAAATTAAAAGCATATACTTCATTTTCTGTCAAATCTGATTACCTGTTTTACAGTAGCTCAGGGTTAAGCA